TCCTCATAGGGCTTGTTCTCCAGACCCTTGATCATTTTAGTCACCCTCCTCTGGACACATTCCAGCTTGTCAATATCTCTCTTGAATTGTGGTGCCCAGAATTGGACACAATATTCCAGGTGTGGTCTAACCAAAGCAGAATAGAGGGGTAGCATTACTTCCCTAGATCTAGACACTATGCTCCTATTGATGCAGGCCAAAATCCCATTGGCTTTTTTTGCCGCCACATCACATTGTTGGCTCATGTTTAACTTGTTGTCCATGAGGACCCCAAGATCTTTTTCACACGTACTGCTCTCGAGCCAGGCATCGCCCCCATTCTGTATCTTTGCATTTTGTTTTTCCTGCCAAAGTGGAGTATCTTGCATTTGTCACTGTTGAACTTCATTTTGTTAGTTTTGGCCCATCTCTCTAATCTGTCAAGATCGTTTTGAATCCTGCTCCTGTCCTCTGGAGTATTGGCTCTCCCTCCCAATTTGGTCCCGTCTGCCAACTTGATGATCCTGCCTTCTAGCCCTTCATCTAAGTCATTAATAAAGATGTTGAACAGGACCGGGCCCAGGAACCCTGCTGATGGCACTCCGCTCATCACTTCTTTCCAGGATGAAGAGGAAGCCTTGGGGAGAATCACCCTCTGGGTTCGTCCATTTAACCAATTCCAGATCCACCTCACCGTAGTTTTGCCTTGCCCACATTGGACTAGTTTCCTTGCCAGAAGGTCATGGGGGACCTTGTCAAAGGCCTTACTGAAATCCAGGTACGCTACATCCACGGCGTTCCCCGCATCTACCCAGCTTGTAACTCTATCGAAAAAAGAGATCAGATTATTCTGGCATGACTTGTTTTTGATAAATCCATGTTGACTATCAGCAATGATTGCATATGTTTCTAAGTGTTTGCAGACCGCTTCCTTAACGATCTTTTCCAGAATCTTGCCTGGTATCGACGTGAGGCTGACCGGACGGTAGTTGTTTGGGTCATCCTTTTTTCCCTTCTTGAAGATTGGGACCACATTGGCCCTCCTCCAATCTGCTGGAACTTCTCCCGTTCTCCAAGAACTCTCAAAGATGGTTGCCAATGGTTCCGAAATGACTTCCGCTAGTTCCTTCAATACTCTTGGGTGTAGTTGATCTGGCCCTGGGGACTTGAACTCATTTAGAGCGGCCAGGTATTCCTGGACGACTTGTTTCCCAATTTGGGGTTGGATGTCCTCTAATCCCTCATCCACTCCATCTTGCTGAGGTTGAAGATGACTTTCTTTTTGTGAGAAGACCGAGGCAAAGAAGACATTAAGTAGTTCTGCCTTTTCCCTACCCCCTGTCAGCATTGCCCCATCTTCTCCTCGAAGAGGCCCTATCGCCTCCTTGTTTTTCCTTTTTCTACTAAAGCCAACATTGACACTGAAATACAACACCGCCTGAGCTCTGCGAGTGCAGCATTTTTCTGAATGAAGCAGAGAGTGTTTGAGGACCGGGACATCCATAGGGAGACCAAGGTGCTTGTTTATAAAGCTATTGTCCTCCCAACCCTGCTATACGCCTGCGAAACGTGGACTGTCTACAGATGTCACATGCAACTCGTGGAACGATTCCATCAGAGCTGCCTCTGAAAAATCCTACAAATCTCTCTGGAAGACAGGCGGATGTCAGTGTGTTGGAAGAAGCAAAGACAGTGAGCATTGAAGCGATGGTCCTCTGCCATCAACTCCGCTGGACTGGCCACGTTGTCTGAATGCCCGACCACTGTCTCCCAAAGTAGTTGCGCTACTCCAAACTCAAGAAAGGAAAATGGAATGTAGGTGGGCAGATTTAAAGATGGGCTCAAAGCCAATCTTAAACCATTTGGGACCCACCTACCTGCGTGATCGCATTTCTGTGTACGAACCCACACAATCTCTTCGATCATCTGGGGAGGCCCTGCTCTCTCTCCCACCTCTCGCAGGTGCGATTGGTGGGGACGAGGGAGAGGGCCTTCTCGGTGGTGGCTCCCTGACTCTGGAACTCACTTCCCAGGATATCAGGCATGCCCCAACATTGGCAGTCTTTAGGAGGAGCCTGAAAACGTGGCTATTCCAGTGTGCCTTCCCGGAATAAGGAAATAATTCCCAGCAAAATGTCCTCAGAATGCACTTTACTACTGGTTTAGGATTGACTGCGCTCCCTCATCTCTTTTAAAACCCTATACCAGATATATCCTACCTTGTTCATGCCCAGCGTTTATTTTTTAAATTTTAAACTATTACATTTGGCCTGGCCATAGGTTTTTAAATCCTTGTGTGTTATTGTTTATATGTGATTTATATTAATTGTATTGTTTTTGTTTATTGCTTTCTTGTTTTATTGATGTGTTGTTGGGCTTTGCCTCATGTAAGCCACTCCGAGTCCCTTGAGGAGATGGGTTTTTTTTTTTTGTCATGTCAGGAGCGACTTGAGAAACTGCAAGTCGCTTCTGGTGTGAGAGAATTGGCTGTCTGCAAGGACGTTGCCCAGGGGACACCTGGATGATTTGATGTTTTTATCATCCTTGTGGGAGGCTTCTCTCATGTCCCCGCATGAGGAGCTGGAGCTGATAGAGGGAGCTCATCCGCCTCTCCCCGTATTCGAACCTGCGACCTGTCGGTCTTCAGTCCTGCCGGCACAGGGGTTTAATCCTGGGAGAGGCGATGAGCTCCTCTATCAGCTCCAGCTCCTCATACGGGGACATGAGAGAAGCCACCCACAAAGATGATAAAAACATCAATTCATCCGGGCGTCCCCTGGGCAACATCCTTGCAGACGGCCAATTCTCTCACACCAGAAGCGACTTGCAGTTTCTCAAGTCGCTCCTGAAACGACAAAAAAAAAAACCCGCCTCTCCTCAGATTCGAACCTGCGACCTGTCGGTCTTCAGTCCTGCCGGCTCAGGGGTTTAACCCACTGTGCCACCGGGGGCTTCTGGGGAGATGGTGGTGGGGTATAAATAAAGTAGTTATTATTATTATTATTATTATTATTATTAAAAAACCGTGGCATAGACACAGAGAATTGAGTGATCTAACTGGAGGTCAGTTGTGACCAGCAGTGCTGTAGAATTTGAAGAGGCATGAAAGAGCGAATCATGCCAAGAGGAAGGCACATCAAACCAACCCTGACCAGGACTGCCTTCCATGTGGAAACCAATGTCGTGGGAGAACATGCGGATCAAGAATAGGGCTCCACAGCCAAATCAAAACAAGGCATTGCACAGTGTGAGACGTTAAAGCCAGAATTTTTAATTACAGTTTGGAGCATTCATCAGACTGTTACTTTTTTTTTTCAAAGGAAAAGAACATGATGAGGTTGACTAAAGACATTCGTCCCAACATCCAGAACACTTAAAGCAAAAAAAAAAAAAAAAAAAAGAGGGGGGGGGGAATGTGCAATTTTTGCCTAGGTTTTTAGGAAAATTGTTTGTTGCTACTGCTGCAAAATTAATTTTTTTAAAAAAATATATAAAATAAAAATAAAAAGTGCAGAAGCTTCACAAATGGTTGTCCCCCCACCACCATCCAAGATCCAAAACCACAGCTTGTCCTGGGGATAAACAAGCACCTTTTGGCTCTCGGTGGACTGAACGCAGTCAGTTCAGGACCCTGGAGAGTGATCTGTCAACCCTCCAACTGCCTCACATTTAGCATAATCTTGCGCCCTCTGGACACCTTTCTAATTTTATCTAGTCCTGCCATTCCTACAATTTGTTTTCACAAAATGGCCAAAGCACAACTGCTTCGCTGTTCCGTTTTCAAAACAGCGTTCCTTTTTCGATCATCACGCTTTTTCGCTTCCTCTTCTTTTCTTATCAAAACACTCGGTCGAACTCCGTCTGATTGGTCGCGGTCGTATTCCTGCACTGATTGGCCGGCTGCTGGGGCATGTGCCCGCCCCTCCTCCGGGGCGGAGCCAGGTACTCGAACATGGATTGGTTGTGGGTGGAGAGCATGTTCTTGAGGTCGGAGGGCATTGGGTCGGACCAGAAGAAATCGTGGTTCAAGGCGTCGTCGCTATCTATCCTTTGGGCCGGGTCCAGGACCAGCAGTTTATCAATCAGGTCCAGTGCATAAGGGTCTTTGACGTAGGCTTTGAGCCGCTCCTTGACCTTGCGCTTTTGTCCTTTGGGCAGCTCCAGCTTCTGGTAGAGCTCGTATTTATCCACGTTGGGCCAGACCTAAGTAGAAACCAAGGAGAAAAAGGTGGTACAGGGTGACAAAGGCAAGGACAAACAGACTGAGAGACAGCTTTTATCCTAGAGCTGTAACTATATTGAACTCCATGGCTTTGCATTGATGTGGCATTGGGGGCTGTGCAGTGGTGGTTGGAGTGTGGAGGGATGGGTAGGAAGCTAGTCAGAGATGAAATACTAAGAGAAAATGCCAAGACCAATCTATATAAATAAAAATGTAATGTTAGTTCGTGCTACCATCAGAACTCAAAAACCACTGGGGGAATTGAC